CCAAAGTCGGACCGTGGACGTGGTACATTCCCAGACGTTTCGCCGACATCGTCAGTGAGTTTTACCATTCCTAGCACTATATTACAACTGGTCAAAGAGACAAGTGAAGCCGATCCTTTGAGCAAACGTTTATGATATCTTCCCTTCTGCCATGGCCTATTCACATTTCCTATATCTTCCAATCACTCCTTCACTGTCACAATATTTTACTTGCTTAATAAATGTGGTCGGTGTGCCCTTTTTTTATAGCGGTTTCATGAGAACCCTCTGCACTCCACGCTGGCTTTCTCACCGCCCTTCGTCCTTGTGTTGGGAATGTTAATCGGAGTCTGCCATATTGTAACAGCATTCCTTCTTTCCTTAGGTCTTACCCCAGTCTCTCTCTTGCCCTGTAAGATCCGTCTGCCCTCTCTCTGGTTCACATATTTCACTCGACCGCCGCCCTTTATCCTTGTGCTGGGAATGTTGATCGGAGTCTGCCATATTGTTACGCAGTCCTCCTTCCCTACGCTTACCCCAGTCTCTCTCTTGCCCCGTAAGATCCGTCTGCCCTCTCTCTGGTTCACATATTTCACTCGACTCCTGCCACCGCATCTGTGCAACTCGAAGCGTTATTGGCCCTAGCTTGCGCCTGAATGACTAATTCTAGACTCAAGACTCTGAGTAAGTGTCAGCGTCACGCCTTTGCCACATGGGAACACGTCTTTTAGAAAAACTACTGTCAGCCCACTAGCTCCCATCGCCGCCGCGTCTATCCTGTTTCTATCTCTAATACCAAGTCGATGACTTTTTATACCCTAGCCTCTTGTGTGCTAACCCACAAATGTTGTGGTTATGCTTCCTTTGACTCGGTTCAATGTTGAACCACAATGTTTGTGAGTTGGCACACAAGAGAATTAATTATGTTTTGTTGAAAGCTTGAAGGAAAGGAATGGTGTTGAGCCGCCTTACAAAAGAAGGTGACTCAACTTGTTATCTGCGTTGTGGTTCTATCTAAATTCACGTTAAATCGTAGGTATGAGGATCAAGATGGTGTGGCCTTTTGTGTGGTCGCAGTCTCCTTTCGTTGTATAGAAGTTGTTGTTGTTGGTAGTACAGATAGAGACAGGTTAGACGAGGCGGCGATTGGAGCTAGCTGGCTGACAGCTTTTACAAGAGACGTGGTCCATTTAGCAATGGCATGACCATGAGACTTGCTCTGAGGCTTTAGCCTCTAATCAGTCGCCCAGGTTCAGGGTTTGGACGAATTACGCCTAGAATAGTACAGATTGGGGGAGGCAGGGGTCGAGTGAAATACATGTGCCAGGGAGATAGCAGACGGATTCGACA